GCTCTGGAGAGTGTCCACTTTGGTACTCTGGCAGCTGACATCACCGGGAGTGCTATCTTCAAATTTCTTCAACAGCTTATCTTCCCAAGGATGTGGGCAGCCTTTTCTAATGTTGCAGGCTGAACTGTAGGTTCGCTGAGTTAATAGGTTGACTCAGTAACACAGAGCCTCAGATGAAACTGTATACGGAGACAGGGATTTTAAAGAGCTCATTTATGGTGCAATTACATTGTGGCATAGACCGGTGTCGTCATGAGAGGGAAATATTAGAGCACACAGAAAAAGACTGGCATCTGTGTGCAGGGAGAAAAGGCCTGCATGTGAGCATGCCAAGAGATGCTAGCCATCTGCAAGCTGAGGAGTCAGGCCCCAGAAGAAACCAGTCCTGTCGCCCCCTTTCCCTGAGAAGCTTCGTCTCCGAAACCATAAGAAAATAAATCATATACTTGGGATGATATAATCAATAGCATTTCATGATTGTAGACCCTATAAGATTCATACAAACCTCCAGCATTTCCAAAGATTTTGCTATTTCTATCTCTCTGTCTCTCTCTGTTTCTCTCTGTGTCTGTGTCTGTCTCTGTCTCTCCTTTCTTCCTTTCTCCTTTTTCCATTACATGTTTGAGAAACCCCATCTTTTAAAAAATATTTAGAGTTGTTACCCTAACTGCATTCACACAATATAAAATCCTAATCCAAAAGAACAAAACAAACATAAACAACAAAATATAACAAAATGATTAAGCAACATGGAAACAAGGACATTTCACAGTATTTTGCACTCAGAACTTATTGACTGAAGTAAATGGACCAACACCAGGCCTGAAGCATGGAAGTGTCTAAGTTCTTGCTGTCCATTAGGTCATGACAGAGTGTATCCAGATACCCGAGGAATTTATCTAATGAACTTTGCCTTTTGTCTCCTTGGAATTTGCATGAGTAAAATGTAAAATCCTTCTCTCACTAACTGAAGACCCATGCCACTGAAGAACAGTTGTCAAGCCGGGGAACAGGCAGTCCCTGATGAGTGAGACACGTGCTGAAAAGGGTCCCTATCATTCCTTGGCATCTTCTTCAGCCTCCGACATTTTCTATGTCTGTGACAGCTGGCAGTATAACCTACCCAGCTATTATGATACATTAGTATCCGTAACTAATGCTCTAGGCATTAGTATATATTTCTTAATTTTATTTAAAACATATACTAATAGGAGCCAAAACACTTCTCTCCAACTTTTGCCAGAGGATAAATAACGAGGCATTGAACCGGTTGGGACATTTTTGAACTGTGTTAGACTGGAACCTACCACTGCCAGCATCTAGTGTTCTGCTAACTGGGCTGAGAACAAGTTTCACAAGAGGCTCTAGCCATGGGGTGGACATGATTTTCTTTCATTAAACCTTCTAACCTATATATTTTTTTATTCTCTTTGATGTTGTAATTGCTTTAATTTTCAGATTTAGTTTGCATTGCTAGCATACATAAATACAATTGTGCACTCCATGACTTTGTTGAGCTTAGTAGTCAGAATGCAGAATGGATTTTATTTATACATAGCTCAGAATCTTCTTCTGTTTTTCATTTGTATGTGTGTATGTGTGTGTGTGTGTGTGTGTGTGTATGTGTGTGTGCACATATGTTTTTGTAGGTGGAGGCCAGAGTTGACTTCCATCAAGTGTCTTCTCCAAATGCCCTCTACCTTGATTTTTGAGACAGACTCTCTCACTGGACCTCACTGATTCCACTAGAGTGACTGGCAAACAAGCTTCACAGAGGCCCATCTCCACCTCCCTAGTGCTGGGATAACAGGCCATTACTGCCACATGGTTGTGGAGGATGGATGGAATTCATGTCCTCATAAGTGGGGCACCGTGTCTACCGGCTGAGCCATCTCCCCAACACTGTCTTCAAACATGCTAGATATAGATCAGGCCATCTGAAGGAAAAGAGATTTCTTTCTCTCTATCCTGAATGTCACACACATTTTTTTATTTTTATTTTTGATTTTTTTAAATACTCTGACTAGAGCATCCACAGTAATGGTACATGGAAGTAGCCAAACTGGATGCTGTTGTCTTGGTTACCAGCTATGCAGAAACCTCTTGGTCTTTCCCTGCCTTTATCCTTCATTTTACAGATGCCACTTATCTGAGGAATCTCCATTTTCTTGCAGTTTTAGTAACTCCATCATAAAACATTGTTGGGTTTCCTTAATGGTTTACTTTTTTTATTTTGAGGTGATTGTATGTACTTGACTTTTATTCTATTGATAAGATGGACTACATTAATTCATTTGGGATGGTAAACTCAACTCACATCCCTGAGAGTAAAATCTCACTTTCGCATGACATAAACTACTTTCTATATTCTCCTGGATTTGTTTATAGGGCATTTAGTTTGCTTTGTTTTATTTTGTTTTTTGAGACAGGGTTTCTCTGTATTGTTTTGGAGGTTGTCCTGGAACTTGCTCTGTAGGCTAGGATGACCTCGAACTCATAGAGATCAGCCTGCCTCTGCCTCCCCAGTGCTGGGATTAAAGGCGTGTGCCACCAATGCCTGGCTTATAGGACATTTTGTTTAATTACATTTTCTGATAATCATGAGATATCGGTGTATACTTTTCATATTTTCTTGTGTCTTGGGTATCAGATTATTGTGGGTTTCTTGCAATTAACTGTGCTTATACTGTCTTCCTTCTGCCATTAAAATAATTTATTTAACATTCAAAATTTTATAGAATTTAATGGCCTTATACTTTGGTCTTTTCTTCATGGAAAAATATTGCATAATTAGTCCACTTCTTTATGTTTTACAGGTCTTTTTTTGTTTTTGTTTTGTTTTTGTTTGTTTGTTTTACAGGTCTTTGCTCACATAATTCCTTATGAATCTCCATGTCTCCAGGAACATGTCTACTTTCTTTAATTGAAATGTGACTGTTCACAGCATTCCTTCATAATTGTCTTTTTTTAAATTGAAAATAGAGTCTTCTCTCATACAACAGATCTCAACCACAGTCTCTCCTCTTTCCACTCCTCCCAGCTTCCCCTACCACCCCTCTCCTCCAGACTCATGCCCCCTCCCCCATTCCCCTCCAGAAAAGAGCTGGTAAAAATGAGATATAGTAATACAAGGCAAAAGTCCTCATACGGAGGCTCAACAAGGCAACCAAAGATGAGGAAAAGAGTCACAGGATTAGGCAAAAAGTCAGATACACACACACTCCACTGTTAGAAGTTCCACAAGAACACCAAGGTAACAGCCATGACGTATACACAGAAGACTTGGGACCTACCCGTGGCTCACTGAATCAGCTAAGCAGGACTCATTGGCCTTGCAGAGACTGAGGTTTCATACTTGTTTCTATTTCTCTGGTTGGTGGCTACATCAGTTCTTTCTTTTGTGATGCTATTCATGCAAGTGAGTGCTCTCTCTTCAATATGACGCGGATGCTTTCCCAGGCAACAGCAAAATTACTTTATTTTTTTTTTACTTTTTAAATTTAAAATGCTACCTTTTGAAGACTTTCACACATAGATACTATTTTATCTCATTTCCCCTTTCTCCCCATCCAACTCCTTCCATCCACAGCTCCTCAAATGCATAACTTGTTCCTTAATTGTTATAGACCCATATGTACATACACACATGTGTGTATTCCTACAGATGAGCTCTACAACCTGCTGAGTCCCTGTGTACCCATGACTGGGGCTGGCCTCTTGGGACTGGGTGATGTATCCAGGGGCTCAGTGCAGACTCTCCTCTCATCAGCCATTAATAGCTTGTAGATCTTCATCTAAGTGCAGGACCTTGCGACATTTCTGCCGTTCATGTTGGTATACCAGCTGGTGTTGTCACCTGCGGATCTGGTTGAGGTAAACATATTGGCGAAGTTTCAGGCATGAGGCTTCCCCATCATCTCCAGAAGGCACAATCCTTCAGCAAGTGTCCCTACAATTTTTCAATCCACTCCTGTGGTGATTTAATCTGCGACTTAGATATAGAGGTTGCACTGTAGGTGTGTCAAGTGGCCTTGGAAATCCCACATTCATTTCTTCACTATTTTTAAAGTTATTTTTCTAATATTTGCTCAGGGTTATGACTGTAATTTAACCTTATCATGGGTCTGCTTCATATATACATATATTGTCTCATTTCTAGTGGGATATAGGAAGATATTTATGTGTAATTATATCCTCTACTCCTTTTTGAGCTGGTATTGTTATATGTATTATGCCTACATATGCTACAAATCAAAATGCATGTACTAATTATTGTCTTCCACTTTCTGTCTTTTTATAAAGTTGAGGTCATAAAAGAATATAAGCTTATTTATGGTTTATTATCATTGTCCTCTAGATGCTACTTCTGATTGTCCTTATTTGTTCCTGGATTTGTTACTGTCTAATAATTTCTTAATTTTAATACAACTTTATTCTCACTTGGTTTGTTTGGGCTGTTATTGTCATCTACATTACATTTCAATATGTTAGAGGAACAATAGTCCAATTACATCCACCTTATGTTGTAAAATTAATTTTTAATCTAGTTAAGAGATGCTATTATGGAAATTAAGCATGTTTTGTATTGGGGATAGCTGTGCAACTGACTTGATGGGTGTTCATTTGTGCGTGCGTACGTGCGTGTGTGCGTGTGTGCGTGCGTGCATGCATGTGTATTCATTCATGGGCATGAACTAACACTTTTTTTCAACCTGAAGAATGTCTTCTGTTCTTCTGTTCTTCTTGGCAAGCTTCTTTATACTCAAAATTCCACCAGTTTTTTTCTTCCCTTGTGAGTGATTTCATTTTTGTTTTTTGAAAGATTTTTCTAGATAGGTGAATAGGTGATTGATGATTTATAGTACCTTTTTTTTTTTTTAACAAATCTTGAATATGTCATCACATCCCTTCTGAACTCCCTAAGCTTTTGGTGAAAACTTGGCCATTGACTTTACATACACTCTGCTGAACACTATAAACACATTCTCTCTGCTTTCTAGACTTTGTCTTTGACATTTGGCAGCCCGCATACATCTGTGACATTCTCACGTCCCTGATACTAGACGTTACCTGAGCTCCTTGGGTAAGTAGATTTATGTTTTGCATCAAATTTTGGAAGTATTTTGATGGTCATTTTGTCACTCTGCCTTGTCTATATGCCCTTTGACATTTCATTAAGCCAGGACGGTTGTTGAGTTATTTAGCAAAATCTCATATTTCCCGAAGCCTTCAAAGTGTCCCTTCATTTCTTTCTTTGGACTGCATGGTCTCCCTTGTGGTGACTTCAAGTGTGCTGATTCTTTCTTCTGTAAATTCTCACTGCTGATGGGCATCTGTAGGAAATCATTTAGTTTCGTGTGCTTTCCACCCAGGATAGGGGCATGGCTTTTCCTAATCACGTCTATCTCTGTACTGATAGCGTTCTTTTGCTGAGATGAAGCTACCAAACCTCCATTTGCCCATTAAGTGATGTTTCCTTTAGGTGGTGAAATGTGTGAAGAATAGTTGCCTTGAAGTCTTTATCTTTTGTTTTGACTTCTGAACATTTCTATAGGCAGTCTCTATTGTCTGCTCTGGCTCCCATGTCTGGATCTCACTTTCTATAGGTAATCTCCATTGTCTGCTCTGGCTCCCATGTTTGGATCTCATTTTCCCATCTCCACTTATCTTACAGAAACTGGGACTTTTAGATAATTCCTCCTGCCCTGGGCTATTGTTATTTAGTTTGTTTAATTATTTGTCTGCGCCACATCAGTGATGTCTGCTTTTCCACAGCCCCTGATGCTCTTCTGAGGATTTGGCCTTGGGCGTGTGCACAGTTCCCTGCACTGACAATGGTATTTATCTGTCCCTCTCCTTTTCAGTTCTTACTATTAAGCTTCTAGCTAGTATGTATCTATTATTATCAAACCAAATTTGACTCCACTAATTGCTGGTTCATTGCCCTTTTGTTTTGACAATGCCTGGGGAGACAAATTGCCTCATAGACTAATCCAATTAAATTTAGGGCCCGTGGTAGAGGTAGTATTTAAAGTTAATCTTTATATCTTTCCCTGGCCCCAGAAGTATGTCTAGCTGAGTCTGTTTCTCTGTATTAAAACTTTAACCTTGTCTACAGATGCTTTTGGTGGCGTAGGCATAACAATTTCTTAATTCTTTACCATAAAACACCAATTGTTTTGAAAGCAATCTTTACACTTCAAATTTCCTAGCTTTTGTTTCACAGAAAGTCAGTTCTGGGAACCCCCTTCTAATAGTAGGAATTTCTTGTGGATAAAACATCTTGGGTTATTGTGCCCACGCTTTGCATTCTGTTGTGAGAGTAAACCTTTCCAGACTCCCATTGTGGGACCTAGGTTAGTAGCTGAAAATGCATGTCTCAATGGCCAAAAAAAAAAATTCTTATTCACTGCTGCTTGGATAGAGAAGATGTAGTATCCAGTCCTCCTAAGATAACTCCTCTACTCTGCTGGGCAAGAACATTGTTCACCAACCTTCTTCAATCGCCTCCTCCAACCCCAAATTAAACTCTCAGAGAGATGACTGAAGGTTTGAAATCTTGGCCTACTTTATACAACTAAGTCAAAAGCCTGTACATCCCATGGACTACCATCATCTCCTACCTGGAAGAGAGCACCTACATGTGTGAGTGAAATGCTGGGTACCAGCATCTTATCCATTACTTTGACAGGTCGGAATAAGAAGGACACAGAGAACCTCGGGCAAGGCCAACAACTTCCAAGACTAGATAATTTTTTTTCATTGAGCTGGTGGTTGGGAGGAGATATTGATATGGATATATACCAAATTTTAACAATCTCCTAAGATTTTATTATATCAAAATTTCTGGAAAGAATATTTTCCTATCTCTTATGTGCCATTGGGACAATTTTAGAGAATTGAGGAGAAATCCACATACACACGTTATTTTTTTATTGGTTCTTGTTGAATTGGGGAAAAATTTCACTAAGACCTTCATTTTATCATTCCAAATCTCCCTCCTCAGATCTATTGTGCGTCACAATGTCTCTAGGCTAAAAGCAATCAAGGAAGAATTATCCCTTTTATTCAAAGTTATAGGATTAAGAACACAGAAATATGAAGGCTTGTTCTTCATTTCTAGCAAGATAAGAATGGTCTCTATTTCATACTGTTGATTTTTTTTCTTGCTTCATAATAGAAGAATTCAGACAACATCTTGAAGGTCTTTCACAAATGAATAAATAACTAAAATGAAAAATGTCTATGTCTTTAAAATACTGTGTAAAAACTGGAAATTCAGTATGGGGTGATAGCTCTCCGATGTGTTTCTACCATGTAGGAGAATGATCTGTAGAAGACTATCGGACTTCTTGAGTATCCAATCTGAAATATTTCATATTTTCCATTCAGGTCGATGGTCCTCTTCTTGGAGGTTGAAGGTTTGTTTAGTAGCAGTGTTTCACAGGGAGCAGAGAGGTCATGAGGTATGGATGAAATCCTAACACTGATTTGACTTCTCATCTGCCAGTTCAGAAGGATGCTATCCGGTAGTTGAAGTGAAGTGACGTTGTTCTTTCAAAAGAGCCATATTTACAAGAAGAAGGGGAAAATGCAAACAGGAAAGACTTCAGGCAGCGTGGACACATATCCTGCTTTTCTTCATGGGAGACCATAAAGATCTCCTCAAGTTGTTTAACAAGGTGATCGATTTATTTTTTCATTAGGGTTCTCGGGCTAACTTGTGGGAAAGAGGTTATAAAATGTTCTGAGGGAAGATAGACAGTGTTTCTTGTGAGCATGAGAGTGTTGTGCTGTCCTGGCTTTGAAATTCTTACGTGGGTGTGGTGGACTAGCGGAGGGTTGAGAAGTCCCAGAAGTGAAATAGAAGCTGGGACAGCTGGGTGACAACAAGCCGACTGATTTCCAACAACTTCAAGAGTAGACCACTTCAGAAAGAGGTCAATTTAGAAGGAATTTTAAGAAGTTTCCTACAAAATTCACTGCAGAAAACACTGGGTGTGTCTGAATTAGTCACCATCTACTCATGAGTAAAAACCAGTTGGCTAACTGGTCAGAAATAAATTATGTAAGAAATTGGAGGCTAGGTACAGTTGATCTGTGAAGAGGTGGTGAAATAAAATAACACTCGAGCAGCCAGAGAGGATCTGTGTAAACAGCTGCCACCCCTAAGCCCCCCCCTCCCCTCCCCCATGAGGCAAGGGTGACTGGGACCAGCAGAATCCAGAAGACTAAAGGAACAGCATTGACAATCTACTCAGAGATAGGACCCAGATCTCTGAGAAGATGGAGGCAACTCAGCTGGGGTTTTATCTAGAACCTCAGCCAGTGAAGCAGATTCTATTAGTTACAGAAGATGAAAATTTGAGCAAGCGAGTTTTGTAAATAAGGAGAAGCATTGGTAGGGAGAGGCTGAAAGGAAAGAAAGCAAGAAAACCGAGCAAATTCTTCCTTTACTTTTTTTTTAAAACTTCCTTCTGGTGGTCAAACAGTGCTTAACTTTAACAAGGAGGTGGACAGTGGTGGAGACAAGCCTTTTTCAGAGTATCAGCCCAAGTACCACAAAGGCAACTAGAGAATATAAGTTGGAACACAGGGACAATTGCTTAATCACTGGCCTGCTTTTGTTACTAGGACTGTAGTAATGATAATTATTTTGCTCATTCTTTTTTTCCCTCTGGAATCAGATGTATGTGGTTTCAGGATGTGTTAACAGTCCAATAGGTCTTGAGACACTTATCCTTTACAACTTCTCAAGAGCTGAGAAGTCCCCCTATATGCTGCAGTTTTACAATGTTAAAGCATTACAAGAAATCTAGTATACATATATATGCATTGTTTTTTTCTCAAGACAGGGTTTCCTCTGTGTAGCTTTGGAGCCTATCGTGGCACTCTCTCTGTAGAACAGGCTAGCCTCAAACTCACAGAGATCCACCTGCCTCTGCCTCTCAAATGCTGGGATTAAAGGCGTGCACCATCAAGGCCCGTTGTGCCACTGACAGACAGCAAAATCTAGTATATTTGACACAATGTTTCCACATATCACCCTCTTACTGTTATTATATACTTTCTTACCAGAAGAACACAAAATGAAACCCAAGGCTGTTGTCTCTTCTTAACAGAGTTCTCTCACAATGACTGCACTGCTCTGCAAAAATAAATAAATAGATAAATAAATTAGAGAAATGTAGGAGGAGTTGAATATAAGGGTTGCAGGGCATCCTCTCTCTCCTAAACCCTACAGTGTAAATACAAACACCTGCAACAAATGATGCGCTCATTCAAGACATTTAGCCTACCACAGTTTGCCAAAGTAAGATACACTGGTAGTTTGAAGTCATTCACTGAATTTGATTGGAGCTACAGCATGTGGAGTCTGATCTCTGGAGAATCATCTTTGACACCTACATTCTCCTCTGCTGTCTCTCTGATGTCTCCTTTCATTCCATGGTGTGTTTTGTTCAGCTGGGCTCCATTCTTTCTCATTTCCATAACTTCTCCCTTCCACTCTATGTTCATCTGAGCAATCCCTTCTTAACCTACCTTTCCTCTCTGTGTCTGAATTTGCATTGTCAACTGCCGCTTTGTACTCTCCGTGCATCTCTTGTCTTCCAATCAGTCAACCTAATTTTTAAGTTGTGCTCCTGTTGTTTCTCCAACCCCATCATATACCGTGTGAGGTCAGACATTGCCCAGAATTCCCTCCTCAGCTGTGCCCCAGCATGTTTACTCAGTATTTTATAATCTCGCTTCTTTTTCTTGTTAGTTCTACAATTTTCTTGTCTCTTCCAGGGGTTGATCACACACTTTCGGAGGCTGAAGCAGGAGGACTCTGTTGATTTTGTAGATAACTCTGGTGACAGATCAAGTATCCGTCCAGCAGGACTGACCTCAAACAAAATGAAAGAATCAAATCACAGCCAAACAAAATTAGAGGAGAAATCAGTGCATTAGGGAAAAAAGAAAAAAACAGAGATGATAGTTTAGCTCCAACCACCTCAAAATTTTATCTCAGAGAATGTAAGACTTAAATCTATAGAATCAAAAATCCCATTTCAGCATAGGTCTGTCATGTTACACATTTCCAGACCTTTAACAATAACTATTTATAGTTGATGGGGGAAGTCCTGTGTATATGTCAATAAAGCACTGTTGGCCAATAGGGAAGCAAGATAGGTGGGACTAGGAGTCGAGGAGGACACAGGGGAGGAGAAACACAGGGAGTCAAAATGTAACGGCCATAGGGGTAAGAAGCCCGGACCCTTTTCTCCGGTAAGAGAAATACTTAGATTAACAATTATGGAGTAAATACTTAAGTCAGAGTTAGCCAGTAAGAAACAAGCAAGGCCAACAGCTTCATAATTAATACAGCATCTTGTGTGTTATTTGGGGACTACAACACGGTAGAGCCCAGGCAACTGATGGGGAAAAACCAAGCGACTGACAAGGAAAAGGCTTCTCACAACATATAGTAAGTTAAGTTTGTTAATCATCGTCATTTTCTATGAATTATGCAATTCTGGTTCTTGGATTTGGGGCTTTGGATGTTCTTTTTCCTCACCTGGTGCCCTTCTGTCAAGTCTTAATCATCATTCTGTAACTGAAGATTCACAAATATCCTTCAACTTCACAGGCAACTGATGCCTTGGTTGGACCCATCTTTTCTAACATTACTTACAAATGCTATCTCACTATTCTCTGGCTTCAAATATGCTCGATGAGAAGTCTGATGGCAATGAGATTCATTTGATTTGTAGATAGCTTGCTGTCTTTACTCTTCCTATTTTTCTTGAATTTCTTTTAAAAAATATTCATGGATCTAATATCAAATGATGTGCCAAGAAAATATGCTCCTTTTAATTTTGATTTTTATGTTACTGTCTTTTTTTAAAATCTCAATGTTATCAATTTGTCAGTCAGCAGTGATCAGACAGCCCTCTGATTTATCTGAGAGACGTACATTGGGAAATTATTATTTTATGCTTGTTTGAGTCTAAGTATAATCATTATTTTTCTGTCCCACTTGTTATTGGCTATCCCCTATGACTATTTTACTGTGGCTACTGGTCTCTCAGTTAGGTTATATTTCTTCATTTTCAGTGGTGCTCATTTCTGGATTTTGGACAAGCCTGGATATCAGCTACTCCTTAAAATATATAGATAATTGCCTTGCTGTCTACCATTGTTTTTAAAGGGCTTAGAATCACAGGCTGTTACTTCTCAACCTAGTATCTAAATCTAATTTTTCAATGCTCTGGGTCAAAACTATCCATTGTTAACCTTCACTTGATCTTTCTTTCTTTTTTTTTCTTTTTTTGGTTTTTACGAGACAGGGTTTGTCTGTATTGTTTTGGAGGGTGTCAGTCCAGCCCGGCCTCGAACTCACAGCGATCCACCTGTCTCTGCCTCCCGAGTGCTGGGATTAAAGGCGTGGGCCACCACTGCCCGGTGTTGATCTTACCTTTCTTATTTTCCTCCTTTTGGGCCTTTGGAGTACAAGGACACTAGATACAAACCGGGTTATAGTTTCCTTCTAGGACCACAAATTATTCTATACTATGTTCTATGTGTAAGGACATGGCATTACAACCTTCAGTCACTATGTTGGATACATATTTGAAATTTATACTGCTGCCATGGACTGACAGCTTATGACAATGCCCATTAAATTATTAAAGCTTTTGTTGATCAGGACTCCAAGAGCAACCTGAAGAGGTGCCTTCATGACATTATAATCAAAGTGACCATCAAAGCTGGTTTTCTATCTGGCTGTATAACTGTTAAAGGGTCTATATGAAAGTTTAATGCATATTAGATTGTCTCATTAAAACCAGTGAGTAATGGGAAATATCTACTTTCTAAATGGGCATCACAATCCATGAGATATGATGATATTTTTTTGCTTACCAGCAACAATTGCACTTAGATCACTTGAACCAAATAAAGGTGGTGACTAAAAGAACATCGATCAGCTAAACAAAAACCAAAGGGAAACCTGAAGAACTGTGAAACAAACAACTTCTGAGTGAGCTGGAATGCTGAAGAAATGGGCAAAATCGGGGGTGACATATGTAAGAATAATGAGTGGTGATTTTTTAATCTAGCATCGTTCCAGTCGGTATTCAAATTCACAGAGAAGTGTCCCATTAAATCAGTTTAAGATACATATGAGGCCAGCAGAGGCATTTGTTGTTGTTGTTGTTGTTGTTGTAGTTGTTCTCTTTATGATAGGCAATATGTTTATCTCAAACAAATCTGGAATGATGCTGTCAGAAAAATAGGCACAAATCACTCAGGCAATAGCAAATGATACCCATGGAATATAAGCATAAGGACCACAGCACTGGAAACAGAACACCAAATAGACTGGAACAAAAAAAAAAAATAAAAGCAGTCCTCCTGCCACAAAATAATCAGAATATACAGAATAAAGAAAAAATATTAAGAGCTGCAAAGGAAAAAGGTCAAGTAACATATAAAGGCAGTCCCATCAGAATAACACCCAGTTTCTCAATGGACACACTCAAAGCCAGAAAGTCCTGGAAAGACATTATACGAACTCTAAGAGACTATGAATACCAGGCCAGACTACCATGCCCAGCAAAATTTCCATTTACTATAGATGGATAAAACAAGGTATTCCATGACAAAACTAGATTTAAACAGTATCTATCCACAAATCCATCCCTACAGAAAGCATTAGAAGGAAAACTCCAGCCCAAGGAAGTTAGACATACCCAGGAAAACACAGGCAATGGATAATCCCACAACAGCAAATCTTAAAAAACAGAAACACACACAACTACACACACACACACACACAAACACACACACACCACCACCACCAAAATAACAGGAATCAGCAATCACTGATCATTGATATCCATTAATATCAATGGACTCAACTCACCTATAAAAAAGACACAGGCCAACAGCATGGATGCAAAAACAGGATCCATCCTTCTGCTGCATACAATAAATCCACCTCAACTTCAGAGACAGACATTTCCTCAGAATAAAGGAATGGGAAAAGACTTTCCAATCAAATGGGCCTTAGAAGCAAGCCGGTGTAGCAATCCTAATAGCTAACAAAATAGACTTCAAATTTAAGGTAATCAAAAGAAATGATGAAGGACATTTCATATTTGTCACAGGAAAAATCCAGCAAGAAGAAGTCTCAATCCTGAATATATATATCAAACCCCATCACTAATAGTGGGAAGCTTTAACAGCCCAATTTCACCAGTGGACAGGTCTGCCAGACAGAAAATTAACAAAGAAATAAGCAATCTATTAGATGTTATGACTCAAGTGGGCTTAATAGAATTCTGTAAGACATTCCAACCAAACACCAAAGAATACACCTAATTGAGTTGTTTTCCAAAGGTGTTCAGTGGGAGTTCCCAAATAGCTAGGCTGTTGCCAAGACTCTAAGTTGCTCTCCAGAATCTAGTGGCAAGGTCCCATTGTTGAAGACAGTACCCATACAACTCCTTGAGCAAGGAGAAGTCTCGCTGGTAGTGACATAGGACATTTACCCCTCAGTTCTAGTGTCTTTGGTATATGCTACCAAAAGAGAAACATAAACACCACCGCAACCACAAACTCTTAGATCAACAACGATGTCCTCCCTGCAAGATATGCTAATGTAATTTATGGTGCAAAGGTTGTGGGAGTGACCGATAATTGTTTGATTCAACTGAAGACCTACTCTGTGAAATAGAACACATACCCAACACTGCTTGGGTGATCGAGAACCTGACGGTAGATAGCCCAGGGACCTAGGGTAAAACCAAATATTAACGTTGTAAAGATTCGGTAAAATGACTTCGGTTCCATTGTGTTGTACTCATACATCAGCACCTTGCTCAGCCCTCATCAGAAAAGGTTGCTTCTACAGTAGACGGGTACAATTACAGGGGACACAGTTAGTCACCTAGTCCTAAAAGGACTGTCTCTATCAAATCTCTGCCCTCTGGCCCCAGGGAATTCTGCAGAAAAGGAGTGGAGGAGTGTAACAGCCAGAGGGGGAAGAGGACACCAAGAAAAGAAACAAGCCCTGTAAATCAACATGATCAACACACATATGAACTCACAGAGAGACTAAAGCAGGCCATACAGGGCCTTCATGGGTATACACCGGATCCATTGTATGCATATTACAGCTTCCAAATTGTATTTGTATGGGATCCCTGAGTGTCCAAATGTGTGGGTCTGTGTTTCTAGTGCCTTCTGTCGGGCTCTCTTCCTTCTGTTTGTTTTTGTTCAAGTCCAGTGCCTTAGTCTTTTTTGTTGTTTTACTTCACCATAATTTAGTATTTAAAAATGTTTTTTAAAAGAAAAGAATGTAAGATCCCAGAATGGAGAGGAGTGTTTTGAACTGTTACTGTTTTCTGATCATGACATGACTGTGACACACAGGAACTCACAGCAGGCTCGGCTTCCTGCGCAAGACCTATGTAAGACCAAGCCAAGCAAAAACCCCAGTATCGATTAGAAGACAACTAGTATTCACCCCACGTGGAAGGGCTGTCTGTAATAGATAAATAGAAGGGATGGGAGAGTTATTCTTCATTGATGATGTGTCCTCTGGTAGAATTCCCTCAACGCCAAAATGGATGGCTTCAAACCCATTAACTGATTGGGCTTAGTGTGTTACCAACAAAATGAGTAAGTAAATAAATAAGTGAGGTTTGGAGGCAGCATCATGGGCTCATTCTGGATGTACAGAGGATGTAATGAGGGAGGATAATGATTGTATTTCATGTACACTTGCATGAAATTCCCAAAACTTAAAAAAAATCAAAAGAAACAAGACAAAAAAAGCAAAGAAAATGAACCTTAGGTAAATAATATAATGAAACAGAAAAAAAGAATTCCAAAAACCTTAAGCCCAGAGGCAAAAGGTAGATGGGGTAATTCAAGTTAAGAAAAGCTGACTAGAAACAAGCCGAGCTAAGGCCAGGCATCCATGAGTAAGAATAAGACTGTGTAATTTATTCAGGAACTGGGCAGCAGTCCCCCAAAGAGCTAAAGAACAAGGAGGATTCATATATATACATACATACATATATGAGAAAAGAATTGCTGTTTGTACAAATAAGAAAGAAAAACAGAGTTTTGGCCTGGGGAAAGCAATAAGCAGGAATGTGAGTTTTCGTTGTCCACACATACGTAAGATGATCACCAGATGCAGAAATTGTCAAATGTGTAAGATACAGAGAAATGGAAGGATCAGAAACAGGCCAGAGGGAGATATGAATTGAAAATCCTCTGGGGATGGGTATTATTTGGCATGATGGAGGCAGAAAACATCTTTCTACCAACGATAGGAAACACACGGAGGAGAACCGACTAAGGACATAACAGCAGGTACGGAAAATGAAAAGCCAGTCGCCAAAGAAAGAAGAATCGATTCTGTGAGAAAGAGACACATGCATTAGGACACATTCCCTAATAAATATAAAAAGAATAGAAATTCTAAAAGTGGAAATGAGTAAGAATGGAAATATAACAGGAAATAACAGAGAAACAGACAAAACTAAATATACTGCCAGGAATACCACTCAGCCATTTTGGGGGGTAAAAAAATCAACTTTTAATTCTGCCTCGTTGTTTATATAAAAGTTAGATCCAGCTAGAGGGGGGAAAATTAAATTTATAAAATGTATACCAAAATTAGCTACATATGAAACGGATACATTTTTATAATCTCAGATGTTAGAGATCATACCTTATTTTATAAACACAGTATCCTCAGTATGTAAACAATAAGATTGTACAGAATACCAAGACAGAACAAAAAAGTTGGTGCACATGAGAAAGTAACAGTGTCAATCTAGAAAAACAATCAATCTAGAAAAACAAAAAGGAACATCCCAGGAAGAATGAACAAGCAGTATCTCAAATCAGTCGCTCTCAGTGAGCATGGACGCTAACTGGGGTGAACTACCCACTTGTCTCTCCAGTTTCAGCTTTGGGCATATTTTTAACTCCTCCTCTTGCCTTTCATGTGTTGCAGGAAACTCTTCGAGAAAGTAGACATAAAAAAAAAAAACATGATGTTGAACCAGGAGCAAGGAAAAGGGTACCTTTCCCTCAGTGGTTCTGTCCTTTTGATGTCTGTACATCAGTCCCATTCAGAACCTCGGAAGAAAAACAGACAACGGAGGATCATCTGATAAGACTGATCCCAGGAGAGAAGAAAGCGGGCGGAAACCGAGAAGTCGGATACGCGGCAACGTCAGAGACATCTAAGTGTGCGATCTCAAATTCCTCCGTTTGTAGGATGAAAGCTCTGTTAGAGTCCGCTAGCGCTTACCATAGACATTATTAGTCCTTCCTGTCTGATCTTTCCTGAAAAGTTATCTATGGTATGTTGAGAAACTACATGTTGAACCTATTACTACTCTGGGAGATTTTGGTGTCAGGCACATTTCATGGCAAGGTGATGTTTCTCATTAAACCACCCTCAACTTTCACCACGACTGCATACTGTTTTGGACACGTGCAATGGAAACTGCCCTGGTATACACTGTACTTCAGGCAGACGAGGTTTGCTACGGTGCAGTGACAAATACTCCTCAGAATCTCTGTGCACTGCTTACTCATGAGAAACACCAGAGACTTTTCCTAAAGCTATCTCTCAACTAGTGACTCAGCCTCCAAAGATGCTTTTATCTTTCAAGGACCAGTCCATTCCCCTCCCTTCCTCCACCCACTAACAACTCATCAGTGAGGCTCAAAGGTATCCCACTCCAAGGGACCCATCCCTGTAATACATACTTCCTTCTAGAACTAAGAAGAAATATGTACACAATCATCACAGAAAGAGAATGCAAGCATTGATGTTGTGGTATTGTTATGAGGTGGGGATAAAATTTGTTTTTCATTGTGTCTTCTCACAGGACCTTGACATGTGTGGAGTGCAAGCCAACCTCAAGGGAGCATATGAAATGCCATTTTCTTATGTGACCATGATGAAGAAGTACTCTGTAAGATGTGTGGTATGTTTCTAGCCACAATACATGCTGTGGTCAGTAACAGAGTTGAGGAGTACTTCCTGCCATGCATAAATAAAGTCACACCTCCAAGCTCCTTGATGGGAACAACTCAATCCATCTCCATTCATGTCAGGACCTAGTGTTTATCTTTTCTACTGGGTATGGCTTCTCATGGTCAGGTGTCTTATGAACCACACTGATCCAATACCCATCGAATCAGGAAATCTGTAGTAAAACTCTGAATTGAGGAGGGACAAAATAAGAGCAATGATGTTTGATGAAGTCGTTGCCTTACCCTCAGCCTATGTAGAACATAGTACTCATCCTATGTCATCTGCCCTAAAACTATAGTTCTGATACTTTCAGAAAAGCAACCCTCTTAAAGATAACCATGTCTATGCTAACATGACTGTAAATGCATTAATTCCTGTAATCCCTGAGTCACTTAGTAAAATATACTTAATATTACTTGTTAGTACTTAATAAAATAATACCATTATTCTAGTCACATGAAAAGTCTTACATTGTCCATTTATTCTACAAAAAGGTTGTGACATAAGGTCAGAAGTGACCAAAACAGAGCTTGGGATGTAGTAATTACTCCAAGAAGGGCCATGTTATCATATTCACTAACTCTAAGATTCAGTTATATAATCAAGTAGACAGGAGCCATTTGTTGGGCAAAGCCCACTTGAGTGTGCAACATCTTATAGTCAATTTACAAAGAGCCAGGATGTGCTTGAGAGCTAGAGTGATGGCATTGGCAGGGTTTGATCTTTCGATGGTTGTGAGGAACATCTATCCCATGCTCCATTGCTGGTACCTTGGAACATTTTCTTCTGAAGGAAATCTTTGAATTTTCTTACCTGTGAAAGCATCACCCCAACTCTGGTTTTATCTTCACACAGCTTCCCCTACCAGCCATGTGTGTATGTGATTTTCTCTGTCTCTCTCTTCATGTGTGTCTTCAGATTTTCCATTCTCAAAACTGCATCAGCCATATTAAAATAATGCCCATCCTAATGACTTCATTTAATTTAATTCCTTGTAAAGAGCATATTTCCCCAATAGCCTCATATTCTGAAACACTGAGGATTAGGATTGCAACCAATGAATGTACTAGAATCACAATTCAACTCATAATCCTATTGCGCTAATGATTAATATTCTGTTACTGTAGTCTTAATTCAAGTTGCATATATCCATAAGAGACAATAGTTCTTACCAATATTTTCTGGAATAGGAATACTTGTATCAGAAATAAAATGTGCATTATTTATTCTCTTTGAGCATAATTACATTTAAAGTATAAACACACTGTACTTGCAGTGTGATCAAGAGAAATTCTTCTGTTGCCTCTTATGTCCCTGAGTTCAAGATACCATCTGTTTGGGGTGTATCTCAGTAAATAATTGGCTATGAAAGAACAAAGAATCAGGTGCATATACAGCATACCATTATAAAGGTTGTCTCAAAAAACAAGGGGAGGATCTGTGCCTTAACTATGAAAAACCTACTGTTTCACCCAATTCTTCTACTGGTAAATTGTTTCATATTGTATTTTAAAAAATTGGAGTCAGCTTAAATAAGCATAGAAAGAATAAGAGCCAGGGAAAATCATTGAGGCATTCATTTAATTAAAATCAATATCTTCATCATTTTTGGTGTTTATTGATGTTTTGTTCTATTATTCACTTGAGTAGGTGAAACTTCCTTATCACTTACAAGGTGGTGAACTGGAAACCTGTGCTGTGGTGAGCAGATATCATTTCAGGTCACAGATATTGTCAAACAAATATAGTCAGTTACTTTTGTGGAAGCTATAAAAATAATATTTGTGTATACGAGAAACAGGGATGTTTGGTTTTTCTTTAAACTGCATTGGTTTTTCTTGCTCTTACCAGAATGGCATCATCACAGGAGACAGGATTGGTCTGAAATCAATCTCTTGAAGAATAAGAAGTTAACCCACCATTCCCGGTTCAGAATGCTATACATCTCACTTCTTGATAATTTACTTGCCCAGGATTATGCGCATTATTAAATGTTGTCACCTTACTGCTACTTGTATCTTGTATTTTTATTGATAGCCCTCTAATGACAGAATAGTGTGTTGTAGATATTCATTAAGAATGATTTAGTAAATGAATGAAGATCATAGAGTGAGTCTACATTGTAGTTCAATCAGCATTTTCTTGTCCTTTCAAATGAAAAGTCCAAATTAATCATCATTTTCTTTTTCTCAACTCTTTGCCATGTTTACATTTTAGGTGTTATTAAAATATAAACTTGTAATTTCAATTATTTATGTTACAGCATAAATTATTGACTTTCACAGGGTTGTCTGTTTTAATTTAAGTAAGTCTCTATTCTGCCGCATTTCAATCAAGGTGGAAAGATAATATTATAGTGCAACCAGGTCTGTGTTTTGTTTAGTTATCAAGTAACAATTCTAAAAAGACCGGCCACATACAGAATCAATATCCAATATCCATTTACTGATCGTAAGAAAAGTTGACAATTCAGATACTGTGATGACACTTTTTCTGTGTGTGGAAGTCTAGGTTTTGTTATATTTCACTGGTCAAGGGATTTTTGCTTCATCATTAAAATAATAGGAAACTCTCCAAATCCCCATAATGGTGTCATTTATGTAATGTGTGTTTGCAAGGCAGGCTTTGATCACAGAAGATGATCCGAGAGAAGTGGCTTTCTGTTTTAATTTCCTGCCATCCTGGGAAGGTAGGGACAGGATGTACGCTAGTGTGACAGAGGAAAAGTAGACTTAAAAGTTAAGCAAATACAAATATCAGGTTCAGAGTAGGTAACCCAAACAAAATATTGTGTTGTGCATAGATACTTAGGTCTTTAGTCATTCAAATATTACCATGTCACCAAGTGAGAAGTAAATGAGATCTTGTAGAAGTTAATGAGATTTTTGTATACAGCCATGAATTAAACTTCCTACTGAACCTATATTGTGGAGCCCCATGTCAGATATTATAATGAGCATATAACTAGATCATAAAAGTCTAAAAGCAATGTTCCATGATATATTAAATACAAGCAACATTTCCCACAACTGTCAAATGCATGATCAAGGGTCAAGGTAGGTGTGTGTGTGTGTGTGTGTGTGTGTGTGTGTGTTTAGACGTCTGGACAGAGAATGCTCAAGAAATCTTGCTTATGACTGTTTGGGCATCTCTGTATAGATGTATTCAATATATAGACAAGAAAAAGGAATGAAGGAAATAAGTTTCAACATCCATCAGATTTGTGAACATTATCAAGAGCATTTTATAGGTCTGTTCGGGAGGAAGCGTCACACAACAAAATATTTAGACAAAGTTGACCCTCCTTAGAAATTCAGTCTAAAATATTGTCCTTACAAATACTATTTAGATCTGCAGATTCACCTATTTTATAGCTCCTGGAGCCCTAAGGACTGCAGTGTGAACAAGGCAATGTGACCACTGGAGGTCTCCACATAAAGACATCAAATCTAGAATTCAGGTATCTGACAGGCGACATGTCCAGGCATTGTCAATTTGCTTAAGGTTTTGTAACTGCTCATTACTATAGAAGTGTAAGTGATAAAAGGAAAACACCGTTGGCTTTCTATACATCCATACACGGATAGAGTTAGTGCTTCTCCAACTATAGTCCACGATTAGGGAGTGCATGCAATCCTGAACTTTCATTTTCTCGCTGGCCAAAATAGTCTCAGCACAAATGTAAGCTTGTTGGCCCAAAGAAAGTACTGACTGACAGAATCATCATCACTAGACTTTATTTCCAGTGTGGGGCAGTTTCTGTCATCTCGGGTGGTGCCCTTCAGGTGTGGTCCTATAGGAAGGCGGAATAGATATGGGGTCTGGGTATCAGCTGCGGTTGTGAAGTTCCGATGTGTTTTCCAGTCCTCAAAGGCATGGCTGCAGTATATCTTCTCACACAGACACCAAGTTCTCATGTAATAAGGAATGAAGCTGGTGTTGAAGGGTAGAACCAATTATGTTTCCTATGTTTCGTTTTTACAAGCAATGGTTTTCTTCAAAAGCTACTGCAGCTAATACAGAGAAGGTTATTTATTTGTTTAATCATTCATTCATTGCCTTAAGTGTGAGGTATGTGTGATCGCATACATGTGTATTCACATGAATGTGGGCACATGTGTGTGGGGATCTATGCTAATTAGAGGTTGATAATGGTATCTTCCTTAACTTCTCTCCACTTTACTTATTAGAGCAGGGTCTCTTAAACCCAGAGCTTCTCCATTCAGCTAGCTTACTGCAGACACCCCCTGTCTGTGCTCATGGATCCCCTAGCATTTATTTGGGAGCTAGGGATCTGTGCTCAAGTCCTTAAACTTGCCAGAAAACCTTTTACCCACTGATCCATTTCCTCAGGCCCTCATGCAGAGAGGTTTTAACTTGTTTTGTCTATTAAGAGTAAAATTTGGCTTCATGCATTATTATGGGTATTAAGCTAAAAGCAAACCAAAAACCAGAAAGTGTTGTCTCAGATATATTTTCGCTGCTGTAATCCTATGCCCCAACAAAAGCAGGTTGAGGGAGAAAGGGTTTGAAAGGTCACAGTTTTAGGGTACAGTCCCACTTAGTGGGAAGTCCTGGTGACAGGAGCTTGAGATAGGTGGTCACATTGCATCTGTAATCAAGAAGCAGATGTCAGCACTCGGGAGGCAGAGGCAGGCGGATCTCCGTGAGTTCGAGGCCAGCCTGGTCTACAGAGCGAGTTCCAGGACAGCCTCGAAGACAATACAGAGAAACCCTGTCTCGAAAAACAAAAACAAACAAACAAAAAAAGAAGCAGATGTGATAAATGTTTGTGCTCCGGTAGCTTATGCCTCTTTAACCCATCCATTGCCTACACCCTTGCAATTGTGCTGCCCAACACAATTAACACGATCAAGATAATCCCTCACAACCACGCCCAGAAAGTAACCTAATCTACTCTCTGTCATAGGTGTGCCTGGAGGCTTGTCACCTATGTGATGCTAGATTCCGACAACTTGACAATCATTATTAGCCATCACAAGGGTGAAACTATCAGGAAAAAGAAGTAGGTATAAATGTTCTACCTGAGGATATTTTCAATTTTATGTTCTTAATTTCGTGTTGCTTTGCTGATCCCGAGGGTAGTTTGGTGGAGATATGCATGTATGTTCAGTAGCTATCTGCATATTTTCTCTTCTCTGTGAATATTAAAATCAAAAGCCATAGTTCCCAAGCTTGAAGTCTAAAGTCAGATTAGGCCTTGTGTTAACCATTGTGACAAAGGCCTGAGAAAAATAAACTTGAGAGGACACGTTTATTGTGGCTCATGGTTCCCGTCCATGGTCACTTGTTTTTAACATCATGGCAGAAAGCATACATCTCATGGTAGAAGAAAGCAGATACCTCGCATTTTTTTTTTTGTTTCTGAGACAGGTTTTCTCTGTATTGTTTTGGAGGCTCTCCTGGAACTCGCTCTGTAGACCAGGCTGGCCTTGAATTCACAGAGATCCACCTGCCTCTGCCTCCTGAGTGCTGGGATTAAAGGCGTGCGCCACCACTGCCCGGCGATACCTCGCATTTTTATGAGCGCAATTTGAAACACCAACTACCTTCAACTAAATTCCACTTCCTGTCGCTTCCCAATATACTATCATAATGTAGACACATCATTGGGTTACTAGGGTGATGAGGTCATAGCTTTCATAATCTAACCACTTCCCAAAGCCCAGTAACTGGAAACTAAGTCTTTAAAGGCTTAACTAAAGGTTTGTTTTCATGAAGCCTTTATTTTAATTATATGCAAATGACTTCTGCAGTACACTGGCATCCAGGTCTTCATAGTCCCCAGTAATCCCTGCATCAGACTTGGATGCTGCATACTTATGTTATAGCATTATGCTATGATTTCAGAGGGCATCAGAGTGTGCAATCCACAGACTGGGTGCTCTTTTCTCCAGGGAAAGGGGAAAAACAATCTGTCCATAGGAAAGGAATAAAGACAAAAATGATTGGAAGAGGTTGTTCAAATTATTTGTACATAACTCATTAGGTAATTCCTAGTCTGTAGAGAAAAAACAAAGGGAAGTATCAAAAGATAAGTGCATGCATTGTCTTGCAAAAGCCAAGATCTTGAAGATAAGCAAACACCAGCTTGTTTGGAAGGTTTGTGGGTAGAAGTTAAGATTTCTTTTGATGTACACATCAGAAATCCAAATATAGTGGGTGGATGAGCAAAACAGGTATGATATTCACTACCCCTCCATACTAAGTAACAATTCTAGAATGAATTCAAGGCTAAAGTATAGATAGCAGAAGTCTTTCAAGACTTCTCTTTTTCAACTACCATCCAAAGTATGGGGATTTTATTTATTTATTTATTTATTTTTGGTTTTTACGAGACAGGGTTTCTCTGTATTGTTTTGGAAAATATCCAAGGACAGCAGCAATAGAAAGCCCATGAGCCCTCATCCCTACACAAGGAACAATAGGCAACTAAGGAATGCTGAAAGTGGGAAATATACTTTTCCCCGGGAAAGAACACACAGATTGATTATCTAATACCAAATGATTGAAAACAGGCAGATAAGTAATATTATAAGGACCTAACAGATTATATTTACATATATTTAGAAATATAGTTGTATGCATATATAATATATAAGACATTGTGTATAATTAATATGTATATAAGTCATAATAACATATATGTAATATGAATAATATAACATTAATATATTATTCATATATAGATATGATATATTATATAATTATTATGTATAGTATATAAATATATATAACCTTATATAATATGTTGTGTTAATATAGTATATGTGTGCTTTGTATACATGTAAGATATGTATTATATATGTTATGTATATGTTGCATATATGCAACAGTTAATGAAAAAATCTATGAATTTAAAACAGTCAAGGAGGATTTGGAGGGAGTAAAGGGAAGGGGAAAATGACAATTATACTATTTTAAAAAAGAAAATTATTAAAATTATGGTATAATACTAAGTTGGTTTAACAGTCTGTATATTGTTCCTAGAAATGTTGAATAGGTAAGATTCACTAAGGGTAATTATTAACTTATTCACAGAATAAAAATCTTCTAAACACCCTGTCCCATTCCAGGTATAAGTCCTGGGGACAGGGGTCAAAAAGGAAGATGGTTCATGGCTTCTGACCTTGGGCATTTTAGGTTTCCATGAAGCATTCTCAAATAACTTCTGTTCTCGTTGCTTTGTTCTGGACCAACCCACGTGGCCAAACCAAGAGGGAAGATCCCAACAAACCAGCACTATTGAATGGAGTCACATCTTTAGCAAGATTACTG